CTGAGGTGTCCATTCATGAATGTGCTGTGCTCCTCAGAGATTGGAGGGAGCCAGAGGTGGAAAGAACTGGGAGTAAGCCAGACCTCTAATTACCTCCTGACCCAGGTCCCAGAGGTTACCACGGGCCTGCCTGAAGATGTTCATCCCGTCTCTGCTTGATCATTCCCAGAGCAGGAGGCCTTTGCCAGGACCCATCCTATCTTGTTATGAATGCAGCCCTGATTGTTGGAAGGTGTTTTCTCATACAGTGCCAAAATATGCCTCCTCTTGAGTTTTTTTACCCATTGTTCCCTAGGTATCTCTAAAATAATACTGTTTAACTCAACTTCCTCTCCTCTTGAATAGTACCTTAGATCACTGAAGTCACACGTCATGACTCCCCTGTATACTGTTGTCTCCAAACTAAATATCCTCACTTTCTTCTTCAGATCATAAGGCAAATATACAAATATAATAACAATAATAAAGGCAAAACATATCATCACCATAAGAGAAATACAAAAGGTAGTCTAGAACTTTGATTTTTTTTAAGGAATAAAGTTTTTTCTAACTGAAAGCTGAAATGTTTAACTGATATTGAGAAGCATTATGTCTTTCCATGGAGAAATATTCATCAAGTCACTATCCATAAATTCATCCCATCAAAACAGAAATGTAGCTTGATAAAGACTTTTTCTTGGTGACACCATGTTAGCTCCTGATGGCCACCTCACCAAGTCTTTGAAAAATACACTTAGTTTTTGCTTTGGTTGATTTACTATCAATGCTTACTTTGAGAAAAGTTTCCAAAAAAAAATGCTTATCTCCATATGAATCATTGTGACATGATTTCAGAATGTGAATACCATCTATAAGAATTAAGGGAAAAGCCAGGAAACCATCAAAATCCTAGAGGAGAATACAGGCAGCAAGCTCTTTGACTTCAATAACTTCTTACTAGACATGTCTTCAGACGCAATGGAAACAAAAGCAAAAAATGAACTACTGGGACCTCATCAAGATAAGAAGCTTCTACACAGTGAAGGAAACAATTAACAAAACTAAAAGGCAACCAACAGAATGGGAGAAAATATTTGCAATGATGTATTGGATAAAGGGCTAGTATCCAAAATCTATAAGGAGCTTATCAAACTCACACCAAAAAAACAAATAATATGGTGAAGAAAGGAGGAGAGGACATGAATAGACACTTTTCCAAAGAAGACATCCAGGTGGCTTATCACTTATCATCAGGGGGATACAAATCAAAACCACAATGAGATACCACTTCACACCTGTCACAATGGCTAAAATTAACAACTCAGGAAACAGCAGATGTGGTGAGGAACCCTTTTTACCCTGTTCTTAGGAATGCAAACTGGTGCAGCCTCTCTGGAAAACAGTATGGATGTTCTCCAAAAATATAAAAATAGAACCACCCTATGACCCAGCAATTGCACTACTAGGTATTTATCCGAAGGATACAAAAATGCTGATTTGAAGGGGCACATGCACTCCAATGTTTATAGCAGCATTACCAACAATAGTCAAACTATGGAAGGAGCCCAAATGTCCATCAACTGTTGAATGGATAAANACACACACACACACACACACACACACACACACACACACACACAGGAATATTACTCAGCAATCAAAAAGAATGAAATCTTGCCATTTGCAATAATGTGGATGGAACAAGAGTGTATTATGCTAAGTGAAATAAGTCAGAGAAAGATAAGTATCATATTCACTCATGTGTTTCATTTAAGAAACAACACATGAAAATAAGGGAAGGGAAGGAAAAATAAAATAAGATAAAAAGAGTGAGGCAAACCATAAGAGATTCTTAAATATAGAGAACAAACTGAGGGTTGTTGGAGGAGAGGTGGGTGGGGACTGGGGTAAATGGGTGATGGGTATTAAGGAGGGCACTTGTCGGGATGAGCACTGGGTACTGTATCTAAGTGATAAATCACTAAATTCTACTCCTAAAGCCAATACTAGATTATATGTTAGCTAACTTGAATTAAAAAAAAGAAGTTTTCCAGTAGGACTGAGACCTATTTGCCAACAGTGGAAATCCATGCAGTAGCACAACCTTTACTTTCTTTCTACGTTACATATCTTCAGAGTGTTAGCTCTGATTACCTCTAAGAAAACCACTTGCAATCCTTGTTAGAGGATTTGCGGGGGTTTTTTTTTGGGGGGGGGGCAGGGGAGGCACAAAACAAAACAACCTAAAGTGTTAAAAAAAAGAATTAAAAGAGAAGCAATGTGATGAAATGAAATCTTTTGTTTTTACTTCTCTCAGTATTTCCTTATAAAAAAAAACTCCAAGCACAGAAAAACTGAAGGAACTTCATAGTAAACATCCATATACTTAATAACTAGATTAAATTATTAATTTGCCCTACCTCTGGATTTGTCACTTGTCTCTTGGTTTCTATTCCTATCCATTACCCTATATTACTTTTTTGTATAGTTCAGTGTAAGGAACATTCACCCACACACTTAATCCCTAATGTGTCAGGAGGCATGCCGTTATTGGCTCTTTTCTGACAATTTTTTAAGTTTATTTATTTGGAGAAAGAGTGTGAGCACTGTGAGAGAGAGTGTAGGAGGGGGGGAAAGAGGGGTTAGAGAGAATCCCAGGCAAGCTTCCCCCTGTTAGCACCGAGTTGGATATAGGGCTTGGTCCCACGAACCATGAGATCATTACCTGAGCCAAAATCAAGAGTCAGATGCCTAATCAACTGAGCCACCCAGGTGGTCCTTTGAAACTTTCAATTAGTGCTGTCTTCAGAATCCTTTTGCTATTCTCTCCCTCATGTCCTTTACTTTCTCAATTTTGGCATCATTCCTCCCACTTCCTAGCCCCTAAGTTCTAAATGGTAAAAACAAAGCATGAAAAATCTTAGTATGGTCAGTCTTGAAGTAGCATCAGGAAAGGACATGGAAGACCACACAGGGCCTCATAGGCGTTATCACCTCAGACCTGGAATGGACAAGGTCCTCATGCACAAACTGACAGAAACCAAATAATAAGAGAGAGAGGTAACAATGACCATGCCAACCTAGTAACTTATTATAGGAAACACAGCTAACAAATACCCAGCATCGTGCTGGACAGCATCGTGCCTGACACCAAAAGGGTGCTTCATAATTAGCACAATGATGAAATGAGCACAACTAGGAACTCATGTGGTGGATCAGGGTACCTCTCTACTCAATTGTGCTGGGGAGCCATCCCAGATTCTACCCTTCCCACTCTCTTTAAAGAAGCTCCATGACTACCATGGTCATTTGAATAACACATTCTTTCTAAGCCACATATATGTCATTAATTCAGCTTTCATGAAATCCTAATCCTGCTTCAGTCTGAAAGACAAACTGTCTTTAAAATGGGGGGTCTAGGGGCACCTGGGTGGCTCAGTCAGTTAAGCATCTGACTGTAGCTCAGGTTATGATCTCACAGTTCATGGTTTTGAGCCCCGCACTGGGCCCTATTATGACAGCTCAGAGCCTGGAGCCTGCTTCAGATTCTGTGTCTCCCTCTCTCTCTCTCTCTGCCCTTTACCTGCTCATGCTCTGTCTCTCTGTGTCTCAAAAATAAATTAAACATAAAACAATAAATAAATAAATGGGGGGTGTGTCTCTCTGTGTCTCAAAAATGAATAAAACATAAAACAATAAATTAAACAATAAATAAAATAAATAAAACAATAAAACAATAAGTAAGTAAGTAAATAAATAAATAAAGTGGGATGTCTAGGGGCACCTGGGTGGCTCAGTCCACTGAGTGTCCAACTCTCAATTTCAGCTCAGGTCATGATAGGGTTGTGGGATCAGGCCCTGTGTTGGGCTCCATGTTCAACATGGAGTCTGCTTGAAATTCTCTATCTCTTTTCACCTCTCTGTCCCTCTCCCCAGCTCACTCTCTCACTAAAAAATGAATGAATGAATGAATGAATGAGTGAATGAATGAATGAATGAAATGGGAGGTCTATGACTATCTAATCCCATCTTTGACAAACTGATTTTACAGGGTTTACTATCCAAAAAAAGGAATCCATTCCCTGCTACCTGAAGTTTTCTTTCTATGTGAAGTTTCCCTTGATATGCAAAAGCCATTCCTTTCCCCTATCTCAAGATTTATGCCTGATAAGAAATGTTAGTCATTTATTTTCTGGGCTTCCTAATTACCAGTCCACAAAGACTTGGCAAAGTGAGCCTGCCAGTGGAAAGGCGACATCAGAGAAGTGCAAATACAAAACTTTTCACAGTAGACGGCTTCTCTGTAGAGACAGCTAAATCTAATTTTGACAAATCAAATTCATTTTGCCACCCATAAAAGGAGTAGTCATAAAGTCTAAAGGTGAACACTTGCATTATGTAACACCTTCCTAAAGCAGTTCTTTCAAAGGTTTAGATGTCATCAGATTATTTTACAGCAAGCAATTCCTATCTTCTACTGCTTAACCATTTGTACCCCTGACCACTTTCCCATATAAATACCACAGTAAATATTTGCAGAAGTCAGCAATTCATGGCAGGATGACACTCTTCAGAGTTTATTTGAATGCAAAGCCTTATGGTGTTAGGGTGGAAAATGACACATAAGCAAGGCTCTATTTCACATGGGTTTGCTTGCAGTTTGGGAAAAAAAGTCAGACCCTTTTAGGCACTGGCACCTCAGTGGTAAAATGCCAACCACCAACTACAGTTGCTCTCTAATTGCCTCTATTAGAAGCGACCAAAATACAAGGTTCAGATGCACATGAAAATCTTTGAATTGGGTAAAAGATACCCTAATGTAGAGAGTGGATTTTATTTATTTTTTCAACAGGGGCGCGTGCACTCTGTTTCACAGACCTCAGAAAGGGCTTCAGCTAGATAATCCAGGAGCAGTTCATCTAAGTTGGGCTTCAAAGGCCATGTTTGTTCAGACTGCATTAGTTCCTTTTTATTCCTTTGAGGCATCTGTCTCTAGTGACGGAAACTCTTATTTTTTTAAGAAACTAAAGCACAAAAGGAAACTGAAAAAGCTGCAAACTGATTTGGCAACAGCTAAGCAAGAAGCTGCCATCACAGTCATGGAACTCAATGAGAAGATAAGGACTCTACATGAAGGAAAGACAGCCCCTAGAGGTCAGTATTACCATGTGACAGTTGCACGCTGGCCCTGGGTTGTGCAAGGTATACAGTTTTATTGCCAACACAACCAAAGCAGGGCCACAGTACCAGGCAGCATACTGGCCTGGCCTGGCCTCCATTCTGCACGAATAGCTACATTACACAAACTACGGACTCCAGGCTGGGTTCACTGTTACTGTAAGTGAGGCAGAAAATGAATAAGCGGTTCCTTAAAGGAAAAGTCTCTGAGGCTGAAAAGCTGGACTTTATAGATCTGATAAGTGTCTCTGCACAAGCTGGGGGCCAGTGAGGGAAAGGGAGATTCTAAGGAAGAGCCGAGGGAAGAAGCTCTTGAGTGGACCAAGGAGATGAGTTTGTCTTCAAGCATAGATGGGCCTGTAGGCTAAGGCAGGCACAAGGAAGTTAAATAATAATAATAATAATTGTTTTAACAATAGGTGAATGAGCCAGAAACAAGCAGGGAAGGCTGGGTGAGGAGGAAATCTGGGTAGTTCAGAAAGATTTTAATAGCCTTTTTGGTTTAGGTTTTTGAAAAAGTCTTCTCTGAGAGACTATAAACACACACTGGGGGAGAAAGACCCCTCAGTCTGTCATCATCAGCAATGGTATGAGTTAACATTGGATACTACGTGCCAGGCACCGTGCTAAGCACTTCACTTGTATTTAAGTCTCAGAATAAGCTCTGAAGTAAGTACATTTCTGGATTCCAGAAGAACAAGCGGAGGCTTAGGGGTGTTGGTTACTTTGCCTCAGGTTAGTGTGAGCAACACCTAGGCCATCAGCCTCCACACAGCCACTTACCCTACCCAGCGTGCCAGCGCACCTCTGAACAGAAGGCTATTTTTCTCTGTTCTGCAGCAGCGCTATCAACCCTCATTCTGCCTGGTGGATCTCTTACAAAACTGTGGGCCCCTGGACGAATGTCTTCCTTTAGTGTGTGGCACTCTTGTAAAGCCAGAAACATGCCATTATTCTTACCCTGGTTTCCTTTATTACTCATAAATAATTCTGGAAAAAGAGTAGGACCGTGGAAATAAATGCAGGAGGAGAAAGTGGGCGATGTGGTGGCCTCAGAAAGTGAGACACATCAGCATGCTGGCCATGTGGTAAAGCTTTTAATATGAGTTTGGATTCAATTTTCTATTTTGAATACACAGTCATCTTGAAACTAATGCTGAAGGTCAATTTGTTTTTCTCTTTCCACAGAACATAATGATAGCTTATGAATTTGCTTTTACAACCATGTAAACTTAGGGAATAAAACCCATTCAAGGATATTATCCATTTAAAGGTCTTTATTCTAGGGCACCAGAGCCAGATTTCACCTTAGTTGCTTAATAAGAAACTGATAATAATTGTACAGCACATTGGAGAAAGTTCTCCAATTCACCTGAGAGAAGCTTTAAACTTATCAACTGTATTTTGCATCTAGTGAAAAGAGATATTATTGCAAGGTATATCATTCTCATTGTTGACAAAAATATTTGCTTTCTAATGACAAATCCTGTCTAATTTTGTCCCTTTGATGTTTTAGTAGGTCAAAATTAAATTATCCTGAGGCACTGGGACTCTGTTGATTTGGGAGAGGGTAGAAAACATGAAATCTCACCTTATTTGCCCACTTTTCCTCTATATTTGTTTCTTTAAGCTACCAGTACAAGAAAAGTCCACAAAACCTGAATGTATTATGAACAGCTATAAATTTAAAGAAAAGCATGTATTCCAAGGTAAATTATGGATAAAAAGAAGAACTCCTTTAAGACCTATATGTTGCTTCTTTTTTGGTAGAAAAAGTGAGTCAGTGGACTGACCTAAATCAAATATTTGCACTTTCTTGGTCTCCCATTACTCCCATATGCCTCAACCTGAATTCAATAGTCCAGGAGATTGTCAAAGCACTTGGGCCCCAGAGTCATATTAGCTTTCATTCTCAGGGACTTTGGTCACCTTGTCCTACCTCTCAATACACTTGAAAGTAAAGTCTGCAAAGATGTTGGTAACTTTAACACACAATAACCTCCATTTAAACACACAACAGTTAGGGTTGATCCACCTCCCACACACATTCCTAGAGCAGAACAATACCCCTCCCCTAGTTGTCTTGTATCCTTTTATAAAATGTTTGTTTTCAGGTCTCAGACCTCTGTTTGCAAATGACAGATGTCCCAGTCAAAATAGCTTAAGGAGAAAGGGTGATTTATTGGCACAGGTATAAACAAACTAAGAAAGGGCATGCCATTGGCCATATAGTACAATGGATAGAGAGTCTCAGACACTATCACAACACTCTGAGAACATTCATCTCTGCTTTCTCTCTTCATTGCGACTTCATTCTCTCAAGTGGGATGTCAGAAGAGACTGGAAACATGGCCATAAGCAACTATGGGCTGTCCTCATCTTTCTTCCAGAGAGAAAAGCATTTTTCCACCAACTCCCAGTTAGAAAAAGTACAATAAAACATTCTGTCCTGGCTTGAGTTGGATACCCATGCAGGGACATGACCCAATCTTTGTGGCCAAGGGTGGGGAACTATGGCTGGGCAAGCTTTCGGTCATGCACCTGCCACGGGGAAATCAGGATGAAAAAGAAGAATGTTCTGACTGGCAGCTCCCAACAAAAGCACTGGTCTGGACTGGGAGAGAAGCACTTCCTACAGGGAAGGGAATGGGAATTTCTTCCCATTACTAGGAAGAAAGAGTGAGGCACAAAACCAACACGCCCAGTACACTGTCAACTAGTGGTCAAGTTAAAATGTAATGCAACACTTGCCTCATGAGTCACCTACCCATGAGTACTGGCACTTTTTAAGTAGATTCTTCCTGATGAACAAAAGAAATTTATGATCCAATAAATAAATGTCTAATGGTATAATTTCACATCCCATAAAAATGGAGAGCGAACTGCTTTGGGAAAGGAATCCCCTTCCATCCTCCACCAAGTGTCATCCTAGTTGCCTGCTCTAAAGGCCTGCCTTATTGTAACAACTGAAATTGCAAGAGAAAAAAAAAAGTTTTTATTCTAAATGACACACTACTTGGATTGATATAAAGCTACTTCTCTGTTATAATTACAGATTATGCCTAAAGTTCTAACAAGCAGATTGAGGTATTTTCAAATAAATTAGAATACTGAGCTATCAACCTTTTTCTTTTTCTTTTTACATCAACACAGTAAACTACTTCATTGGCTATGTACTGAAATTACCTCCAAGGAAATAAATGATTTAAGTCAATGGAAAGTTCAACTGAAAAGAAAAACACCTTTCTTATAAAACTGGCACAGCAGGAAACTTACTTACAGCCTGAGTGTTGTTTGTGGATTTTACTTTGTGCAAATAATCACAGCCCAAGGCAGATTCCTTCCATCATTTCCACAGCCTGCACCTGAAGTACTTAACAGCTTTATTTACCAGCATAATTCAGTAATGCCTATTGTACCCCTTCAGGCTCGTCTTTTGGTAAACCTTAGTATGCCTGTGGGTAAACCTTAGTACACAGGAACCTAAGGTTAAATTTCAAAAACCATCTTTGCTTCCTTTGGCTTAAGAGAACAAAGTTCCTTTGCAAAAGACATTCGTGACCAAATCTTTTTGGTGTATGAGCGTGAAGTCACTTGGTGTGATGAAACTCATCTTTGACCAGAATATCAGAGACCTCATTTAGAGATTTCAAGCCAGCGTACAATGCACTCTTCTGGATTTTTTTTACCTCCTAATTACTTTCTCCTAATATGTACAGGAAGTACACGAAATAGGGTTTCTAGCCTACACATACAAGTTGCCATTGCCCAAGTGACAGCTGTATCAACTCTAAGTCATCTCTCGACTTTACTCCTGTTAAGAAGATTCTCCTGGCTAGTGCAGGTACATCCCAGAGCAAGCTTATCTAGGACTCAGTGTCTGAAGAGAGCTAGCCATTCTGTTCAGGGAGGTATGAGAAAGGACTGAAATTTCAGTGGTTTTCAGTGACATGAGACTGTTTTTAAGCACTATTTAAGAATTAGATTATTTCTGTTCTGTATTGTTCACATAAAATTTAAGAGATATATCTCTTATCAACCAACTGTTTATCAGCCAACTGTAATCAATATTTTCAAGAGTATCTTTTATTATGATGTCCACCCCAAGGACTCGCCCCTCCTATTCTCTCTCCTTTTGTAAACTTTATTAGGATCAAAGCTCCTATAGCAACCTGATATTAAAAACAAAAACAAAAACAAACTGTTATTTGAGGGTGATAAGAGTATTCTATAATTAAACAGTAACAGTGGTTATACAACATTGTTAATATAGGAAAATGAATGAATTGTACACTATAAGGTGGTTAATGTGGTATATTTTATATGAATTTTATCTCAACTGGGGAAAAAAACCCCAGTGATTAGAACAATTCTCACTGGGATGTAATGAGTAACACCTTGTCAAGTTTAAGTGTATTTTAATGAGAGTGCTTTGGGCCTAAATAAAATCTTGCGTTGGTAGGGTTCCAAGCATTTAGAGAGAGGTCATATTCCTATTTACTGGAGTAAGGCCAATCTTGAGTAGTTGTCCATTTGTGTCCAGATTTTTTCAACAATATCATCTTGTCCTTTTTGACCTCTCAGAGCAGCTCTCTGAAAGGCTGTTCTTCCTCAGATTAAGGGCCAATTACTTGATTGATAGTTCTACACCAACTTTCTTTCGCTTCTAAACACAGATATTTATCTTAGTAGAGTTTTCCAAGAAAGTAACAAGGAAGGCCCTATGGATCACACGGTTATAAGTGCTGGGACATTGTCAAAACGCACTGTTCACCACCCATTTCATCAAACTGCATGGAGTTCAGTCTGATATTTGATCAAAGTATAAACAGGAAGCCTGTACCTCCCTACTGCTGCCAACGGTGTTCTCTGCCTTGACAGAAATTGACAAGAACTTTGGAAAACACAAAGTAGGGACTTCCCCCCTCAAACATACACATTATTATCCCAACATCTGCAGAAAGGAGTATTCTGTT